TATATATAAAGACAAATTTTTTAACCTAAAATAGACACGTAATCTTTTTTAACTCACATTAATGTCCAAATCCATTAACCAAACCAAACCGATTTGGTTTGGTTCGATTTTAATAATTGGATTGGGTCGGTTTTGTTTGGAATTTATCCAAACTGACTAATTCGGTTTCGGTTATGCCGAACAATACCCAAGCCTACTCAGAATCGATCAACTCATAAATGATCAGAATCGATACTTTAAAAAACGCTCATAATCGGTACTTCAAAACTTCCAAACAGGCCTTAAGTAGCTTGGAGGCATATAATCTTATTTTTAAAGGTCGAGAACCTACAACTATATCATGTGAAAGGTTAATGAGCCGGACCCTAATTTTTTCTATTATAAACAATGCATGTATACTTCATGTAATAAACTTGTAGTGTTTAAAATTTTGGATAGTAGTCTTATTTAAGACCATGTTTGTTATAGATTAAAATCCAACCAAAATTTAAATCAAAATCAATAGTTAATTTTAATTATATATTTCATGGAATTACAATTTTTAAACCACATATTTTATTAAAATTTACTAAAACTCTAAACAGGGCTAAGAAACAAAATCTAATTTTTGGATTTCTTTGTAGCGGACTTTTTTTGCAATTATTTGGAGATTAACTTGTTTTTATCCAAGTATTGATGACCCACTTGCTACTGGCATAATAGGCGGAGGACTAGCCGTGCTAATTTTCCTAAATATACTAATAGAAGGCCCACTTAGCTCGGGCCAAACCCTGTGTACCATGGCCAATGCTTAAGTATCAGCTAGGGCTATCAATTGAATATTGGGATAATTACATAAAATCAGCTGTTTACTTTTAAGTATATGAAAATCAGGTTTTAGCTTTTTTTAATCAAAAATTAGGTTTTATCATTTTTAATTAATAATAATATTGTAAAATTAAAATAATCTATATACCCACCCTACTACCTACCCCCTTCAAATTTATTTTAAATATAAAATCCTAAATCTACCCA